CATATTTGCCCATGACCTGTTCTGACTGCAGTGACAATTGTCTCGTTATGAAGCTTTAGGCTTCAGTTTCATTTGAGATGAACAGAGGTCCTCAAGTCAGGGTGTGTCCGGTTTGCAGGCAGTTTCGCGTCTTGATGAAGCGTAGCTTCATTCAATGGTGGCGTGGCAGCTGGCAACGAGCTTCTTGGCAGAACAGTTGTTCAGATTTGTCTGATTTGTCATGTAAAGCCTACAAAGCAGAGTTGCAGAATCGAACATTGTGTTAGTCAATCCAGAGGAAACGTCTTGCCACTGCTAGTCATTGAACTCTGTTGTGCAGAGCAAGGCGATTTTCCTGGGTGTCATCACCGGCTCCTCTGCCATCATGGCTACCATGGACGCCTTTGTTGTGAAGGAAGCCGAGTGGCAGGCCATCAACATGAGCCCGGCATGGTTGGTGGATATGTGGCGGCCAGAACGACATGTCAACTAGTTCGCTTTTTATTTTGGCGACAGCACGCAAGCCAGCAGAGGGCAGCAGAGGGCAGCAACCAGTGATGCAGGTGTTGCCGGTGCTGAATCTCCATACTACCCTTGCACTGCTCATTGCCGTCTTCGCGCTGAACCTTTTCGGCGCCTGACCCAGGGCATATGTTTTGATTCACCAAGGGCTCAGGGCAAGTGGCGGGAAAAGGGAAGATTTGCAGTCCCTGATATTCACTCTGCTATGGAGTTGAGAGCAACACTGACATGAGACGAAAGGATCCAGCAGTGGAATGGAATCGAATCCATTGCACCCAGATCAGACAGTGCAAAATTATTGCTGTGTCACCTCAGGAGCCTTTCATTGAGGCTGAAAAGCTCACTTTGTGGCCGTTTTTGAAACGACATCAGCCAGAGACAGTTCTTGGTTTCGTGCAGCAATGAGGCCGGGGTCGAAAGCCGTCGTGTGAGGCACTGATCGGCCTGTTTTCTGGCGCGAGCGCGAGAGTGGCCTGAGCGTGGCGGCCTTCTTCACGGCAAAGGTGGCCGAGCGACTCAGGTGACTCAGGTGACTCAGGACTCACATGGACACTCACATGGACACTCACATGCACTCACATGCACTCACATGCACTCACATGCACTCACACACTTACTCACTTACGCTCACTTACGCTCACTTACGCACTTGACAATTTCTCATACGAAGTCTCCCGAGGTTGTGAACTCCATTGACTTGGTGCTGCAGTGCTTTCTGCTCACGTCAGCAAAGAACTCAAAGGGTTGAGCCATTGAGCCATGGCAGGTTTCGAATGGGCGCTCTCGCCTGAAGGTTTACTACATGATCCGCCAGCCCGTGGTCAGCTTTTTGGTCTTCTTTCCGCCGTTCCTCCTCGTCAGGGGCCCGGCCAAACTGCTACGGTGAATGCCCTGACTACTGCAAGTAACGCAACAGGAAAACCTGCGAATGAATTTGCCGGACTTTGCCACACTTGTGTGGTTGAGCATGATTGGTTTACATGAAATGGTTCGGGCATCCACCGTATTTGAGGCTCTGACTCTAAATTTGCATTTTCAACCACCGAGGTGACTATCTCGGCCAGTGGCCTTGGCTACATGATCTCCACGTGCTTCCCTCCCAAGCACGGGCCGTTCATTACAGCAGCTCGGCACCAGAAGGTCAGAACATGTCAGCACAGTTCACAGAACTGTTTTTTTTTTGGGCGAATGCCACAGACACTCGAAGGAGCAGGGGACCACAAAAGACTGCCCCTAAAGGGTCACACAACTTCGGGTAAAAGCTTGATGGGAACAATGTAGAATATCACGTTGAGAACACACAATGGCAACATAAACGATGCGCCGGGACCAAGGCCATCGTCATTTTTGTGAGCTGCGGTCTCTTGGGCCATCCTCTACGAGTGCAGACAATGGCAGATGGTGCTGCGCTGGAGCTTGCCTGGGCCTAACACGCCGTGCCATGGGACAGCTTACGCATGCGATGTGAGAGTGGGCGAGACATCCCATTTCCGAAAGCCAAGCCTGAAGGCTTGTGTGGCTTATGTGTGTACATGTGTGCATTGGTGGGCACTGGCAGAGATTTCGGTGGCAATGGTCTCAGGTCTTAGATCTCCTCTCCATTACCCGATGGACTGTGCCGCATTTGGATGTGCAAAGGGGCAAACGTATTGCTGTTTGATTTGACAGCGGGCAAACGGAATTCTACGCAGGACTGTAGGCTATTACTACCTGAACTTCCTGGCCTGGAGCTTGATATGAGCTCGAGGGCACCACGGACACCACGCTCCAAGTGTCGCTTTCTGAGGAAGACACCGACTCCTCAGTGTGGAGCTCGCAAGAGGCAAGAGTTGTCGTAGGGGCAAGGGTCAATATCAAGCGTCATCTGTAGTCTATGACAGGTTCGCCAGAGAGCCTGCAAGCGACCGCTTGTCAGGCTACGGAGGCAGTGACAGGTATCAAGTCCATCTATACAACACCCTCGCATCTGGGCAGCACCAAGCGCATGAGCAGCCTTCTCAAGACGGTTGATCTACTTGCTTTGGAAGTCGCGTGCTTTTATGCACGCCGAGCGTTGCCTTGCAATCCAAAGCTGAGGCTGGTACCAAGCGAGATGCTAGGCCTCTTGGCAAGCCAGCGTTGGCAAACGTACATGTAGTGCCTTGCGAGTTCTCGAGGCTTGAGCGTTCGCCTGTTGCTCTCCTAGGAGTGTCTTCAGCAGTGATCTTCTGCGTTTGCATGGGATTGATGTGGCCCCTTTGGCTGCAGTGGCTAAACTCGAAGCACCGGCTCAGCACTCTTTTCCGAGGCATTGTGTTGCCTTCTTGCGACTGCGCTTCAGCAACCGGAATCGTGGGCATCGCTCGGAAGCCCAGCCGATTCCGCGTAGACTTCCAACGGGCGTACTCCGTCAGTCTCGCTTTGTCTCGTTCACACTCTCGTTTGCTCGTTCACTCTTTGCTCGTTTCGCTGTGTGAAGGCCGCGCAGCGCCATGGAAGCAGCGCATCTACCGCCTGCAAGGTTGGGGCTTGGCATCAGCTTGGCATCAGCTTGGCATTGGATCGGGGATCGGATCGAATCTCAGGGTGGCTGGAAGACGTCTCCATCCGAATCTTCGGCGAGGAGCGCCAGGCATCGGAGCAGACACGAGCTTCCACACGCAGTTGGCGAGTTCTTGAGGCAAGGATGTTCCGCAGCGGGGAAGTGCTGCGCAACCCGCCACGAGCCCAGTGCAGCGGCAATGTGATAGTAGCAGCTCCTGAAACTCACGATTCGCGGATGCAATGAATGCCGTACCGCTCTCCAGTCTGGCGCAAAAAGTGCTTCCGGGGGGGAGCAGAGTTTTGCCTGACATGGTGAAACTTTGACATGGGGAGCAAGGCTGGCAGAATCGTGCATCATGAGGGAAGACCTTATGAGCACAGAATTGTAGCCGTGTTCTTGATTGTGTCCTTGCCGATCCGGGGCGCACATTGCAATTTGTGCATTGCCGATCCGGAGCCGAAGGTCTGAGTAATGCGCTGCAGAAGCGAGGGTCCCAGAGACGGGCGATGTGCTTTGAGTGTACTTCGGTGAGACTCAGATTGTAGATTGGAGCTGCTTTGTAGCTTGTTGTAGGTTGTAGAGGGCATGCCTGAGGTTGGGTTGGAGCTCAGTGTTTGCATGCTGTGCAGACCCAGCTTGGCCGAGGAATTCTCGGCGCACGCTCAGGATTTTCGGCATTGCGCTTTGCACAATGCAGCGCGATGTTTTTTTCAGTAGGGAGCCTTGAGCTCAAGCTAGGTCCGATTGATCCCGCAGCCTCTGAGATGCCAGGCGACACTTGCACCCAGCATGTGAACTGCAAGTAGCCTTGTCACATCATATTGTATCCCTCCATTGTCTTTACGGCTGATAGCCAAATGGCCAAGATGTAAGTTTGAAAGCGTGACACAAACAGTCAGAATTATTTTGATTGGAAACCAAACTTTTCTGTTGTCTTGACACTCAACTGGCCTGGGAGCCATGTGGGTTCCACCTGGCAAATTCGTCCCTGAAGCTCACCTGCAGACAGGGGGTGGAATGTTTCACCCTGGTCACAGTCCGAGGCCGTGCAGCATTTGAGGGCAAACCGAGCCAACACGGAAATAATATTCTTCTTTTGTATTTGCCTTTTGTTTTCCTGTTTTTCATCGGATTTCAGTTTCTGAAGGAATGGCCTGCCTTCAAGTGCTCTCCCGCTGTCAGCGCCGTCGGCGAGCTCGATTCTTTTTGGCGCAGACTGAACAAATACAGGAGCACCGGTCGGCAGAATGCCTACCACTTTGGTTTTGGAGGCCGATGGTTTTCTTGTTTCGGGGATAGGGCAGGTCTGTCGGGTGGTGCTCATTCTAGAGCCTGGGAAAGGCGCTCCATCGGAAGCTGTCGGGTAGAGACCCAGTCAGCCAAGCTGCCGGGTCTGGGCAGAGTCAAGGCTTCGTGTGGCAAGTCTGGCAAGTCCAGTTTACCAGCGCTCAATCTGTGGCTTGCCATTGACTCTATCGATTAGCCCAGCGTGTGACACGTGGGGCAGAGCAGGCGCCACAGGCGCGGAGTTTGGAAGCCAGAGTCAGCGAGTTTTGGCTTCACACGCCAATGCCAGCGACTCAGACGGAGGGGACATGGAGTGAAACTCAAAGCACCAATGTTTGCTGTCGTTCAAGTCTCAATCTCAACTGATGCAACGAAGCACTATGGGCTGCAGGTTTGCTAAGTGGCTGTGGAGTCACGTGATAGTGGACAAGATGTGTTACACATTGCTGATGCACAGCCAGCCTGGATATACACAAAGTTTGGCTGTTGGGATTCACATGGGTATGTATAGAATATGTATGCATATTTGAAGGACGGAATGCTCATGTTGCGTGCCTTTTCACGATGAGAGCATAGCAAGTCACGCTGAGGCTGCGCTATGGCACTCGCCAGAGACCGCGAAAACAAGCACGCGATGTTGCTCACGCGATGACTGAGAGATTGGAAAGTGGGGGCCAACCGGCTTCAGGTGCCACGACCAGAGGTCTTTGTGGAGCCCCCGCCAGTGGCCAACACATCGGATCGGCATCCCAGTTCAGAAAGCAAGGCGATTGGCAGGGATCAGTACATGAAAGCAAAGCTGCCCGGGGCTGTGTTTGTGTTGGTTGCAACTGTCGGGATCTGTAATTATCATGCAAGCTTTGCTTGAACTGCCTTGGTCAACATGGTAGCTGCTTGGTCTGCCTCTTGCCAAGCCAAGTTGCGCACTTTGGTGGCCTATGGAGTGCTGTGTCTCCGCCGAGTTTGTGAGAGTCTCAACACAGAGCATGGGTCGTTCAATCAAATCTTGGAGAAGGCATCCCACCACAACTCCGGCCATGCCAGGATGCTGTGGCTTCCTTTCTTGTCTGACCAGCCACGTTTGATTGCCGGAGGCTTTTGCCAGGCCCTGACGGCCTGACGATAGGAGCCACATGTGGCATACGTGCACACATACACGTCTTGTCCACTTTCCCATGCCACAAACACGACAAGTGTCTTGCACAAGGATTGGATGAGTTCGGTGACTAAACAGTCGCAGCGTTGATCTGGCTTGTGGTCGGTCGCATGGTGGGCTGCGGCTAAGTGCTGCGGCGTCTCCTCTCACTGGGATGCAATGTTTGCCAGGGTGCCGCTAATCATGTGGGCGCTGGTGGGCGACCTCATCTTGAATCTCTATGGGCAGGAGGCCTTCCAAGGCTGCTCAGGCCCAGGTTCATGTTATTTCCTTCCAGGCCACTCGCAAGCTGGCAGAGAGCCTGTTGCCGGGGCCTGGGCTGTTAAGCCAAATGAGGTTTTCGGACGAGACCGAGAAACCAAGGCCGGCAGCTCTCCACTACAGAGGGGCAGCGCGCCCAGCGTACAGCGGAGCTTAGTGGATGCCTATGGATTTGTGAGATTCTTGGAGGTGTGGGAAGAGGTAGAAGCAAAGTTTACAGCTGTGCCGCGCGCTTGGTGCAAGCGCACATGACTTGCACAAATGAGTGGCCAGAGAAGATGAAACTGAAATGGAGAGAAAAGAGATAGTGATCCCTGTCAGGCCTTGGCCCCTGCGTTGTGCGGTGTCCTTGCACCTCGCGGCTTTTCGGCGGCTGATCTGCCCTGGGCGAGAACGCACCGGGCTTAGGCCAACCAGATCCAGAGCGGTCCCAACGCATCGAAACGAATTCAACGCGGTGAAGCGATTTTGGTGAATCCTGCTGTGATGCCTCGTATGTCCCTTGCAACTTAGCGTACACTTGTGTACTTCAATGCACACGCATATATTCAGACACATGTATACTTTTGCATATTTACACGCTGACGCGACACAGCCGGCCACCGGGCACCTTGCCCTGCATGTCTTCCCTGCATGTCCGGCATGTCCCTTCACTTCCTTTCGCTTCACTTCCGTTTCAGCTCCCTTCATTTTTTTGAACGCCCCGTCATTCGCATTCCTTTCCGTTCTTTTTAGTTCCCGTGACTTCAGCCTCGCCTCCCATTTCACGTCAGTTTCCTGCACATCTCTTCATTTCTCTTCAGTTTCTCTTTGTTTCCCATAATTTCCAACAATTTCTTTCCGTTCCCGTCCTCCGCTTCCCTTCACGTTTTGCTCTTTTGCATTTTCCTGCATTTTGGTTTCTCTCCAGTGCCCTCTTCATGTTCGTCGTGCACGAACCTTTCACTTCCATTTCGTTCACTTCCAGTCACTCCTGTTTCCCTGCACTTCCCCTCGCTTTCTGCAATTTGCAGCCCCTTGTGTCGCATCGCCAGCATGCATAACATCATCCGCATCATCCAGGATGATGCTGGCAGTGCCCCTAAAAATACTCATTTTTGGACTCATTTTTGGACGCTGCGGGAGATGCTACAAAAATCCTCGAAAGCGAATCCTTCGCCCCTCATAAGGGTGGGCCCAGCACTGCGGCCTGATCGCGTCCGGCGGCCGGATTTGCACGCTGACGCGGCACAGCCGGCCACCGGGCACCCCTTCCCGTTCTTGTTAGTTCTCGGGTTGAATTTTACTGCCTTTGCATGTCTTCTCTGACAGTTTCCTGGCATGTCCCTTCACTTCCTTCCACTTCACTGCCGTTTCACCTCTTCCCTTAATTGTTTGAAGACTCCTTTATTCGCATTCCTTTCCCTTTTCGTTCCCGCTGTCCGGTTCGGGGTTTTCCCTTCACGTTCTGCCCTTGCATTTTCCTGCATCTCGGTTTCTCTCCAGTGCCCTCTTCATTTTCGTGCAATTCCTTTGACTTTCATTTCGTTCACTTCCAGTCACTCCCGTTTCCTTGCATTTCCCCTTCAGCCCCTTGTTTCGCATCACCAGCATGCACAGCATCATTCGCATCATCCGGGATGATGCTGGCAATGCTGGGGGTGTAGTCCAGCATCAGGCGCCCCTAAAAATACTCGTTTTTTGACCCTTTTTTGGACGCTGCGAGGAGATGCCACAAAAAATCCTCGAAAATCGCCTAAGCCAATCCGCGAATCCTTCGCTCCTTATAAGGGTGGGCCCAGCACAAAACGTATGCGCATGGTCGCCGGCATGGGGCGGACGGGCTTATCCGGCTACGCCTCCTTGGGGTAGCATGTCGCCGCTAGGCAATGAGCCTGCTAGCTTTCGATCCGGCACCTCTGCATCACCAGCTCGGGCTTGCGGGTTTGCTTGACAGTGGGAAACCCTCGCGAAACATCGCGTATATGCAGGGTTTAGGCCATGTGGGTGACATCGTCAGGGTCTGGGGTTGGGCTCCTCGCTCTACAAAACGCTGTAAATACCGCCAAAAACTGCTGTGCCAAGCGTTGGGCTGTTGTTCTGTCCGTTTTGCTTTTGCTGTGGCTGGCTCGCGTGCTGCGCGGTCCTTGCTTTTTTCGCGTTGGTTTTCGGGCCTTCTGCCGCGCGCGCGCGCGCGCGACCCCAGCCACAAAACGCTGCTATTTACGTTGTTTTGTTGCATTTCCGTTTCCGGCCTGGCTTGCGGGCTGCTCTTTTTGAGCTGTTTTTTTTGGGTCCTCTGGCGCGCGCGCGCGCGTGCGACCCCATGTCAGCCTTCTGGTTTGGGTCCCGGCTAGGGCCCCGAAAGCTGGCATCCCCGGCATCATCTGGGGTCGGGGTGGGCAACATGCATAACCTAACCAGCCATATCATAGCACAGGATACGTTTCTCATACAAAAAACATGACATGACATGGTATAACTTCAAAGAGGCGTAGCTGGCTAGAGGCCGCAGGCATACCTGAAGGTAAGCCCTGCGGGCTTGGCGTGATCGGGCCGCAGGCCGGATTTACGTTTCTGGCGCACAACCGGCTGCGGCAGCATCGCGAGACTCAACCTCACAGCTCCTGCAAGGACAGCTAAGCAGGCAGCAGCGACAACAACAACATAAACACACATACATTTCCTTACTTGCTCCATTTTCCAAACATCTTCCCTCAGTTTCCCATCCATCTTCCACATTTTCCATCTATTTTCTAACCATTTCCCGTCATTTCGCCATGTCCCCTTCACCGCCCGCCCGCCCGCACGCACGCAGGCACGCGCGCACAAGCACACACGCGGGCACGCATGCGCGCTCACGCACGCGCACCCACCCACGCACGCGCCCACACACAGGCTCACACACACACACACACCCACACCAGACTCACGCGCAACACCCGCCCACCCACGCACGCGCTCACGCACCCACGCGCCCACCCCCACACACACACACACACACACAGAGACACACAGACACACAGACACACACACACACAATCACAATCACACACACACACACCCACACCCACACCCACACGCACACGCACCACGCACACAGCACTGCACCGCACAGCACAGCAACACGCACACGCACACCGCACACAGCCCACGCACAACACACACACACACACACACACACACACACACACGACACACACTACAACACACACACACCACACAAACCACCACAACAACACACACACACGCGCGCGCGCACGCACGCACGCACGCAAGCACCCCACAGACACCCACACACCCACCCACCCACCCACCCACCCGCCCGCCCGCCCGCCCGCCCGCCCGCCCGCACGCACGCACGCACGCACGCACGCACGCACGCACGCACGCACGCACGCACGCACGCACGCACGCACGCACCCACACGCACACACACACACACACACACACACACGTGCGCGCGCGCATGCACGCGCGCAGGCCCGCGCGCCTGCGAGCACGCGCGCGCACGCCTGGGCCAGTTGCCACGCAAAACGTATGTCAAAACCAAACGTTTTCCTTGGTTTTTTCAGTTAAAGCCCTGCATTTTCTTGTGTTTTTCCGGTGTTTCAAGGCTGCAGCAGGACGCCGCAACATCCCAGCATCACCAGCATCACCCGCATCACCGGGGCAAGACCGCAGACTTGCAAGCCCAAGGCTGCAGACCCAAAAGCAAGCCCAAAAACGCACCCGCCAGAAGCAGATGATGCAGGTGATGCTCATCACTTTCCTTTTCACGCATCCTCGGCATGCACAGGGTCGGCGGCACCATGCGGCAGCCCCATAGAGCTTCGCTCTAGAGCCTTGCTCCAAAGGACCAAGGTGGTAATCCGACACAGCCGTTCGGCCAGTTGGCCGCGGCCGGATTTACGTTGCTGGCGCACAACCGGCCGCGGCAGCATTGCGACGCTGAACTTTATTTCCGCGAGCTCCCACTCCTTAAGATGTTCAAAGCCGAGCAGGCTTGCAAAGTAACGCCGAGCCAGCATCACTAGCACTTCCAGTAAGTCATCATCGCAGCATCAGGTTACTAGCAGTGAATGTCCGAAGTCTTCCTGATTTTCGTTACACCTCTGAGATGAGTTTTGATAGTTTTTCCCGACTCAAACCCAGTGGATCCCAGTTACCATTGCACTAGGCAACCCAAAGTGTCCCAGTGGATCCCAGTTATCATTCAGAGATTATAGTTGGACTTGGCATTGGTAGGAGATATTTTGAAAGTTGATTTGAACTTGAACTATTAGTTGGATTGTATGCACAGTTTTTGAAAACCCAAATACATTTGATTGAATTATTGTACTTTACATTTTTCTTTAACTCGATGATAGACAAGCAGGCCACTGACAGGCCTTGAAAAAATCCACATGCGCAAAAAAATGGCAGCCAGGGACAACAAACAAATGGGAAACTCTACTAAAGAAATCCCACTTCACAAAAAGCAGGAGGCCGACCAAGCAGGGCAATGACAGGCCTTGAAAAAATCCACATGCGCCAAAAAATGGCAGCCAGGGACAACAAACAAATGGGAAACTCGACTAAAGAAATCCCACTTCACAAAAAACAGCAGGCCGACCAAGCAGGGCAATGACAGGCCTGAAACAAAATCCACCTGCGCCAAAAAATGGCAGCCAGGGACAACAAACAAATGGGAGACTCAGTGACAGGCAATCCACCTGCACCAAAAATGGCAGCCAGAGACAACAAGCAAATGGGAAACCATACTAAAAGAAATCCCACTTCACGAAAAGCAGCAGCCGACCAAGCAGGCCAGCGACAGGCCCTGAAAAAAAACAATCTCACCAAAAAAATGGCAGCCGGAGACAGCAAGCAAATGGGATGCTCTACTAAAAATCTCCACTGGCTGCCATGTTTTGTGATGGTTGGTTTTAAGAGTTTAAGATTCTAAGGCTTCCAGATTTTAAGATTTAAAGATTTCAAGATTTTAGATTTTAAGGTTTTAAGACTTCAGAGTTTAATATTTTAAGGTTTTAAGATTCTAGTATTTGGATATTTTACGATTTTGAGATTTCAAGATATTAAGGTTTGAAGATGTTGAATTCTTGAAGATTTTTGAACTTTAAGATTTTAAGATTTTGAGATGTTAATATTTCAATAGTTTAAGATTCTCAGGTTTTAAGATTTTAAGATTTCAACATTTTAAGATTTCAATATTTTAGCATTCTACATTTTAAGATTTTGAGATGTTAAGATTTTAAGGTTCTAAGGTTTTAAGATTTTAAGATGTCAATATTTTAAGATTTAAAGATTCTAAGATTTTACGATTTCAAGATTTCAAGGTTTTAAGATTCTAACACTTAAATATTTTAAGATTATGAAGATCTAAAAAAAATTAAGATAAGATTCTAAGTGTTTT